GTCTTCGAAAGAAGTTTAACACACCCACTAAACAGTAGGATTAAATGGGGCTCAAGCCATGTTTTAGTCCTCTTGCCTGATGCCAGTCTGTAAAATAGGCTTGTCATAGTAGAAAAGGGTCCATGATGGAAATCTTTGTAAAGTTGTTTCAGCCAAAAGGACTTTTCCAAAACCTACCAACAGAGAACATGCTCAGGATGTAGGCAAAGCAACAGGCTTAAAGCTGGGCCATGTTGACTTTCCTCCAAAGATCCCTACGCTCCCTATATAATTGTCTATCTAGTCAATCTGGGCAAGACAGGAGCAAGAAATTCATTCTGCTATGACTCCTTCCTCACTATGTAGCTACCATTTAAACTCCTTTATTTGTAAAACTGGAGTATCAGTGTTAGTCTACTTGGCCAAGATATTATGAAAGCTAACTTAAGACTTTTTAAAATCCACAGTTGAAGCCACATTTTTATGCAGAGTTGCCACAATAATATTTGTTTTCTACCTTAGTGGTTATTCCAAGGCCAGAAATACAGTAGTATATATAGTTGTTATATATGGTGTGTTTTAATATTCTAAAAAGAATGTATGGTTTCAAAAGGAAAGATCTTTCTGTTCCTTCACAGGTTTTTAGCCCATTGAAGCTAAAAAAAAGAAAAAAAATCTGCAAGCTTTTTTTAAGTAGAGGCAAAACTGGCATTTCACTTATGGGAAAATTTTGCAAAATTATACTGACTAAAAGTGATTTTTATTTTGGCTTTCCTGTGAAGCCAACTAGAAAGGCCAAAAATTACTGGCATTGCTTTTGTGTAAAACCTTTCTCATAGACTCTACTTGTAATCTAGCCAAGTATATAATTCAGGTCATCAGTGACACATATCCACGTAGTGTAACTGGTCAGTGAACAAAGTATTGCCATGAAACATGGCTGTGATATCACCATATGGACAAACCAAACTGCACAGATTACAGCTAAGGAAACTTTACATTAACAGACTTGGAACAGACTTTCCTAAGCCTATCCCTGCCCCCACCGCCCTCAGTGGGAAAGCCAATTGCTTACTGATTACGACAGCGACATCACTTGGCAAACATTTTGGCCTGAACTCAATATGTGACATCAGGCTCCTTTAGGGTTTTCCACATAAAACGAATTCTCCAAAGAAAACAGAAATTGAGCCTTAATTTGAAATCCATTATTACATCCTTTAAGGTCTCATTAACTATCCTCAGTCATGTATTTCTTAATTTTTATTTTACTTCTATGTAGATATTAACCAACACTTAAAATATGAGTGCTAACCCCTCACTCACAGTGTTTTTTCAGAGCTTCAATCAAATAGTTCTTTGTAGCTACCCTCACTTGATCTTTCTTTATAGGAGTTATGATATCTTTCATTTTGCCTAGGTAAAACAAGTATCTCCTAATTAGGGAGTGGTTCATATGACTTTGCTCTAAAGGAAGTAAACAATATTCTTTGACCCTATAGGATGAGCTAGTCCTGATTTTATGAGGGGTGGTTGTGAGTTAGAGAGGAAGTACTCCCACCAAAGTATTTACTGACAGTGTTTTCTGCCCTGTCATCTGAAAATGAGACACATCACTGGTATTTCACTGTTGTGTGTAAGCACCTTCTCTGAATGTATTTGCTTGAAATAATTAGTTTCCTCCACTGCCCACTTGATTAGTGGTGTGTAATTCATGCTTTGATACACGAAACCTTAAAGCAGGTGGAAACCAGTTATGCCTCACAAGGCCTGTAGGCTCCCTACAGAAAAAAATTGGGATCAGGGAGGGTGGATATGAATACGCCAACAGTGCCAAGATATGGAAATTGTGATATTGTAAAGGACAAGCAGAGGAAGAACTATTGGTGCTTCATGTAAGTTGAGAATAGGTTTAACATTCTCACACCCAAAGAGTTCCATCGGGAAGCTGTTCCTGGCAAAAGGAAAAAGGTGAGTATTCTTTTATCATCTGGAACAGCTGAACAGTCTCTATTCACTTTTTCCTATTTCTTGGTATTGGCATAGTCAGTTTAATTATTCTTTAGGACAAAATTTATATCCTATAAAACCAAAAAAAAAAGGATCTCTTAAATTCTTTAACTGATTTGATACATGTAGAAATACCATTCTTAATATATCGATTCTTCCTTCCCATTGCCTTTATTCCCACTGATCTTTGGTTCCAGTTTCTCAGTATTATTTCTCTTTGGTCTCTTGATTTATGTAATCATTGCAATCTGCTTCCCAGGGTTACAGTATTACTTCTGGATATGCTTCCCAGCCTTCCTCCAAAAGATAGGAGAGATACAGCAGTAAATATCAGAACTGTACCCACAGCCCTTCACATTGCCACCCTAACTCTGTACCTCTTGCTTTTTTTTTTTTTTTTTGGGGGGGGATAAGAAGACTTTTATTTTTTTTTTTATTTTATTTTTTATTGGTTGTTCAAAACATTACAAAGCTCATGACATATCATCTTTCTCTTGCTTTCTTGTGTGGTAAAACCCCTGGCAGAGACAGCCTGTGCTGCTTTATTCCAGGGGCAGGCAACACTCTGACTATGATCAGTAAATGTTCACAATAATGAAAGATGAAAGAAGTGTCTATGTTCAGCAAGTTGGTGCCAAATAAGTATCGAGGCCAAATGAGGCCACTAGTGCCAAACCACAGGGGTTCAAAATAATATTTAATATAACATTGTCTCATTGAATAACAAATCATATTATAATCTTTGAGTCTATAATCTTCCTGTGGTGCCAGATTTCTCATCCTCCTTTAATCTGCCTCTGTAGATATTTCTACAGAGTTCATAAGGGACAAGTTAACAAGGATTTCCTTCCCATTCACCCCCTGCCTTGTGTGTAATGAGCAAAAAACAAACTCCTAGAGGAAAAAAAAAGGACTGGATTACGGATTCTCTGGCACTCTGAGCAAGTGTCTACCATGAAATACACTGAAAAGAAATGAAAGTTTGCCAATAGCCTACATATTGTTATATCTTCAGCTACCTAGCTAAAATATGAATTGAAACTTTTGAATAAAGCAGTTGATTACTAGTGTTTCAGAAAGGAGAGCTCATAGGTATGTTGTGTTTGTTTGTTTTTTTCCTCCTTAAGTACCCCTGAATTCAATCCCTGGTACCCACCCCCGACAAAAAAAAAAAAGAGAGAGAGAGAGATATAAACTAGGCATGGTGCATACAACTGTAATCCCAAGGGTCAGGAGCAAGGATTGCCTCAGCAACTTAGCAAGGTACTAAGCAACTCAGTGAGACTCTGTCTGTAAGTAAAATATTAAAAAGGGCTGGGGATATGGCTTAGTGTTTAAGCACCCCTGGGTTCAATCCCTGGTACCAAAAAAAAAACAGAGAGAGAGAGAGAGATAATTGTCCTTTCAGTTTAAAATAGATGCTCATACTTTCAAAGTTGATTCAGAATTGAGCATCAAATCAGAACAAAATAACCTTCTTTCTACACATGGTTATAAAATGTTTATCAACCAAACTCCCTGTTTTGCAACCAAGCTTCTTAAAATACTGTCTTATATGGCTGGGGTTGTGACTCAGTGTGATAGAACGCTTGCCTAGTATGTGTGAGGCACTGGATTCGGTCCCCAGCATCACATAAAAATAAACAAATAAATAAAGGTATTTAAAAATAAAAAAACACTGTCTTACAAAATAAATAAATAAGTAAATACTGGTTTACATATTTAAGCTTCTAAATTCTCATTTCTTACTTATTCTTCAAAGAATTATAATTTGGCTTCTGCCCTTCCTGCTTTTTAAAATGGCTCATTAAGCTTTTCAGTATCTTGTTGCCAAAACCTGGGACATTTCTCATCCCTTTTTGTATGATTTGATAATATTCAGTTGTTCCCCATTTTGTGAAAGTCTCCCTTGGCTATGTTTTATTACCTTCTTTATCATTTCTTTCAGCTGTTTGCCATTCTTTCTCAGCTTCCTTTCTTGACCCCCTTTCCTCTGAAAAACTGCCATGCACTGATGTATCCCAGGGTTCCCTTCCCAGCATTACCTCTCATAGCTTCAGCTGTCACCCACTGCAAATCCACATCACAGCCCATCCTTTTCCAGACCTGTATTCTGACTATGGATTGTCTTTATTCTTTTCACTAGATGTTGGGATACACTGAGGTCTAAAATAGGACTCCTCTTGCCCACCTCTCCTTAAATAAAACCTTTGCCCCAGTCAAAATCCTTTAACAACAAAAAGCTTTGCCCTTTGCCATATTTCATGTCTTGGTGAATAACCAGAGTCCTTCTAAATAACTCCCTGTGTCCCTGCTCGTCTCTCCAGTCACTTGTCTCTCCAGTCACTTATTCCTGTTGACTGTATATCATAATATATCTTATTTATACTCCCTCATCTTCCTTATCTGGGTTTTACTTCCTAAGTGGGTTTCCATCCTCCAACCTAAAACTCTTCCAGTCTTTCCCATATTACTATAATAGTTATTTAAGAAGCATGGCTGATTGTCTCGTTTTCCTCTCAGGTTTTCGCTGGTTCTGTCTTGCCAACAGTATGTAGTCCAACTGCTTATGGCTAGCCCTTCTTTTTCTCATCCTGTACTCCCACCCATGCTGTAGCCATATGGAAAGCCTGCGTTCCCTCAGCATCCATGCTCTCTTCTCACCTCTGTGCCGTTACACTTGCCTTGAATATAGTTTCCTATTTTGTTTGCCTAAGGACTAGACTCCTATGCCTTCTCTGTACAGCTTCACCAGGGTAATCCCTTGCATAGTTAGGTGCCCAATGTATTGCTTCCATAGTTTTGATCGTGACTGGTGATTCTTGTGTTGCATTGATAATATCTTTAACCATGTCCTTTTTTTCCTTGCATTGGACCATGAGATCTTTGAGAACAGAGGCTGTGGCATATTCATGCTTCTATCCCCAACACCTGGGACAGTGCCCATCCTATAGTAACAAGTTAGTCATAGTTTGCAGAATGGGTCATTGTTTCATCCAAAACAGCCTTACCTTTCACATTCCTGTTCTAGTAAGCTTATGAATTCATCACTCTTCACCATATATTCTTTATGTTTTCTTTTTTCTTCCTCCAACTGCAATATGGTTTGCCTGTGGGATTTTTCTACCATTAAAAGTTGTTCCAAGATTCGTCTGTGAGATTCTTTATGTTTTTCCACGACTTTGTCCAACTACAAAAGAAAATGCATTTATAACCTGTTAACTACAAAACTGCCATCTTTCATTCTTTTATAAGTGTCTATTTTGACTAATTTCAGTGGTAAGTTTTTGATCTCATGGTTTAGTTTTTATCATTACTCATGTTAATTGATACTTTTTTGTTGATACATTTTTTAACACAAATGTTTTTTTATTGTCACCAAAATTTTCCAGGGAGAATAATCTGTATCTCTGTGGATATCAGAATGCTTTTTCGTGTCCCTTTTCTGACACCCTTGCTTCTCTCCCCAGAGATTTTAATGATTGAGAGAGAATCCTTGTACACTGTTTGATTCTGCAGTTGCCCTGGCTGATCTCTTCTGCCCCGGCCTACCCCCAATATTGTCTGCCAGTGTATATCTCTTGGATCCCGTGGTCTGTTTTGTTTTTATTATGCATCAAAGTATTTACATTAAAATAGATATATAGATAATTCATCTGCGTTGGTGTGTAGTATGTGTGTGACCAAATGTAAGTACCAAGTCCTTTCTAGTTTTCATAGCACCATACTTATGTCTTTGTTATAAAATGATCACCCTGCACCTGATTTATGTTTGTCTTCCCTACTAGATGATTAACTCCCCAAGGATACAGTCTATATCCACTATTTCCTAAAATCTTAGCATCCAGAGTACCATGCTTCATATAAGCACCCTTTAGTATATGTTTACAGAGTGAAAACAAAATAATTGGGTAAGGAAATCAAGAAAGAAAGGAAGAAAAGAAGGAGAACACCTAGAGCAAAAGTGGCTCAGGATCTTAATGATTAAGATCATGGTTTTGAAAGCATGGGATTTCTAGATTAAGCATTAGATGCTGTAACTGGTATGTTACTTGCCCTTTGCCTTTATTGTAAAAGATAGAAAATTTGTTACTCAGCATGACTTTACAGCCATATAGCATTTTTAGGATATTAAGTGGGCATCCCAAAAGCTATGTACTTGACCAGAAATACAAATGAATAGAATTATGAAAATGTGTGTCCCAGCATGTAGAACCCAATGATTTCTTCTTTTTTTTTTTTTTGCATTTTTTTAAATTTATTTTTTAATTATAGGTGGATACAATATTTTTAAGTAAATTTTTTATTTATATATGACAGCAGAATGCATTACCATTCTTATTACATATATAGACCACAATTTTTCTTATCTCTGGTTGTATACATAGTATACTCACATCAATTTATGTCTTCATACATGTTCTTTGGATAGTAATAATCATCACATTCCACCATCATTAATTACCCCATGCTCCCTCCTTCCCCTCCAACCCCTCTGCCCTATCTAGAGTTCATCTATTCCTCCCATGCTCCCGTTCCCTATCCCATTATGAATCAGCCTCCTTATATCAAAGAAAACATTCGGCATTTGGTTTTTTGGGATTGGCTAACTTCACTTAGCATTATCTTCTCTAATTCCATCCATTAACCTGCAAATGCCATGATTTTATTCTCTTTTATTGCTGAGTAATATTCCATTGTGTATAGATGCCACATGTTTTTTCCATTCATCTATTGAAGGGCATCTAGGTTGGTTCCACATTTAGCTATTGTGAATTGTGCTGCTATAAACATTGATGTGGCTGTGTCCCTGTAGTATGCTGTTTTTAAGTTTTGAGTATAGACTGAGGAGAGGGATAGCTGGATCAAATGGTGGTTCCATTCCCAATTTTCCAAGAAATCTCCATATTGCTTTCCATATTGGCTGCACCAATTTGCAGTCCCACCAGCAAGTATGAGTGTACTTTTTTCCCCATACCCTCGCCTACACTTATTGTTGTTTGTCTTCATAATAGCTGCTATTCTGACTGGAGTGAGATGAAATCTTAGAGTGGTTTTGATTTGCATTTCTCTAATTGCTAGAGATGATGAGCATTTTTTCATGTATTTGTTGATTGATTGTACATCATCTTCTGAGAAGTGTCTGTTCAGGTCCTTGGCCCATTTATTGATTGAGTTATTTGGGTTTTTTGTTTGGTGTTTAGCTTTTTGAGTTCTTTATATACCCTAGTGATTAGTGCTCTATCTGATGTGTGAGGAGTAAAGATTTGCTCCCAAGATGTAGGCTCTCTATTCACCTCACAGATTATTTCTTTTACTGAGAAGAAGCGTTTTAGTTTGAGTCCATCCCATTTATTGATTCTTGATTTTAATTCTTGTGCCACAGGAGTCTTATTAAGGAAGTTGGGGCCTAATCCCACATGATGGAGATTAGGGCCTACTTTTTCTTCTGTTAGATGTAGGGTCTCTGATTGTATTCCTAAGTCCTTGATCCATTTTGAGTTGAGTTTTTTTTTTTTTTTTTTTTTTTAAGATACTGAATACAGAAACCCCTTTACACTCATTTTAGAGAGAGAGAGAGAGAGAGAGAGAGAGAGAGAGAGAGTGATTTTAATATTTATTTCTTTTTTAGTTCTCGGCAGACACAACATCTTTGTTTGTATGTGGTGCTGAGGATCAAACCCGGGCCGCACGCATGCCAGGCGAGCGCGCTACCGCTTGAGCCACATCTCCAGCCCTTGAGTTGAGTTTTGTGCATGGTGAGAGATAGGGGTTTAATCTCATTTTGTTGCATGTGGATTTCCAGTTTTCCCAGCACCATTTGTTGAAGAGGCTGTCTTTTCTCCAATGCATGTTCTTGGCACCTTTGTCTAATATAAGATAATTGTAGTTTTGTGAGTTAGTCTCTGTGTCCTGTATTCAGTACCGTTGGTCTACCAGTCTGTTTTGGTGCCAATACCATGCTGTTTTTGTTACTATTGCTCAGTTGAATAGTTTAAGATCTGGTACAGTGATGCCACCTGCTTTACTCTTCCTGCTAAGGATTGCTTTAGCTATTCTGGGTCTCTTATTTTTCCAGATGAATTTTATGATTGCTTTTTCTATTTCTATGAGGAATGTCATTGGAATTTGATCAGAATTGCATGAAATCTGTATAGTGCTTTTGGAAGTATGGTCATTTTGATAATATTAATTTTCTTTATCCAAAAGCAAGGTAGATCTTTCTATTTTCTAGGGTCTTCTTTGATTTCTTTCTTTAGGATTCTATAATTTTCATTATTTGGATCTTTCACCTCTTTCATTAAGTTGATTCCAAAGTGTTTTTTGGTTCTTTTTTTTTTTTTTTTTTTTGAGGCTATTGAGAATGGGGTAGTTTTCCTCATTTCCCTTTCTGAGAATTTGTCACTGATATACAGAAATGCCTTTGATTTATGGGTGTTGATTTTATATCCTGCTACTTTGCTGAATTCATTTACTAGTTCTAGGTATTTTCTGGTGGAACTTTTAGGATCTTCAAGGTATAGAATCATATCATCAGCAAATAGGGCAAATTTGAGTTCTTCTTTTTGTAAACAATATTTTTATGTGGTGCTGAGGATCAAACCCAGTGCCTCACACATGCTAGGTGAGCACTCTACCTCTGAGCCACAACCCCAGCATCCCAGTGATTTCTCTTGGACCTTTAAATGCTTAAGCTGGTTGTTTAACTTTCTAATATGGGTTTATGTAATTTTGAAAAATATTTTATTATGCAATTGTTGATGATTTTTAAATGCCAGTCCTTTTGTGGATGCTAGAACTGCTAAGTTGTGTTGTCTGCTGGCAGAGGCACTGTTAACTGATGATCATTTTTGAACAGGGAAATGATATTCATTTGTTGTGGTCTCAAGCCACTACAGCCCTCTCAAAATCCTATCTTACAGTTGCCCAAACTTTATAATGCATTGTTAGGGAAATTCAAATCAATTGCTTTTAGAATTTGAAAGTAAAAAATGAAAAGATGAGCTTCAATTTAGGGAAGTTACCAACTGATTTAGAAAAAAAAATTAGTTTAATCCGTCACAAGAAAGGCTGGAAAGAATCAGTTCCTTTTATTTAGTATATGTCCAAATAAGTGGTATTCCTTCCTACAGCCTCTTTCTGTCATTTCTTTTCATTACCAATCTGATCTTGCAACAGTGGGATTAGTTTTTCTCCTATGGAAGACCGAAGGCCCTTTACCTTCTGCACCCGCTGCCATTTCAGCCCCATTTCCATTCCAACACACTTTCCTCACCCAACTTTTAGCCACCCTGGACTTAGAAATCACTCTGCTTTTACGCAGTGCTGAAACCTAGAAACCTTTTCTCCTTCATCAATTTTCACCAAAACTTTTCCTGTCCTGTTCAATCCTTAAGTAGCATTGTTTTCTCCTTGTATCAATGCCTAGTTCTCTGGGTTTTGCTTCTGTCACATTCCATGATTCTCAAAAGAGTGGTTTGAATTTACTACATGCTGTTCAGTGGAACCACCAGGCAGCTCACGATTATATCAGCTGCAGAGAGAAAGCTTCCAAATAAAAGTGTTACTGTTTCTGAAGATGTTTTAGCCTGTATTAGAAGTTTTATTCTCTGACTTCATTTCTTCATGTTTAGAATGCCTCTCAGAAAACAGGCCAATGGTTTTCACTTCAGTCTGTTCCTCATTCCTGACAGATCAAATGATGGACCTGATGCTCCCTGAGTAGATGTGAGTTTGGCCAAGCCACATGACTATTTCAGTCACTCCAGCCTTCAGGATCTTCATATACAATGTGAGTGGTGGGAAGTAGATTGTTCACAAGATCAGTTCTAGTGCCACAATTTTTACAAAGAAACCAGTATTTTAAATACCTATTCTGACATAAGTTCCTGGTACTATGATAGTTGCCATGGAGAATGCAAGAGAAATTGAATTTAAGTGCGTACACTCTCACTAGGAAGATAAGATAAACACATGCAATCATTAGGAGCAGTACACATGGCATATCATTAAGTACAAAAGGACAATCAGAGAATGATTCTCCCTTTTTTATATATTCCCAGTTGGAGATTGAGTGAAACTTGGGAAGAAAACAGGAAGACTCATAAGTCATTTCAGGGATCATCAGATACAGAAAAATTGAAAAGATGGCTTCCTAGTGTTTCCTGTGCAATGACAGACTCCCAGCTTATCAGTTCAGCCACCTGATATGATGTCCTACCCCCATCCCATGATAAAATCCAACTAGTTGCCAGGGATGAAGAAAGCATAGTATATCCCATTAGGTTGGATTTTTGGTTATCCTTCTATGGCCATAGGGAATCAAACACAGAGAAGCTTTCTGTCTTTTTGCCCTTATCTGCTTAATATCTGTTTAGAAATTAATGATGACCTTTTTTTTTTAACACACCCCAAGTCACAGACCACCCTGATTTGGGCTTGGTCTTCTTTCTGTGCTATGATTTTGGTTCTCTTTGTTCTTTTTTCTTGTCTCTTTGTAGATTGTCCTTATCCTTTCGTTTTGTTTTGTTTTTGTTTTTATTGTTTTAAATTAACCCTGAATATACGGGTAGGGATAAGCTAATCTGAGAGAGCAGAGAAATTGTTTGATCTTTTTAGTCTATCAAAAGTAAACAAATACGCTATTAATTTCAAAATATCCCTTCTTCTTCCTTGACTGTACTGAAACCTAATTTCCCTTGTAAACACTGGAATCTGAAAAATAAATAGTTTCTCGTTGCCTCCACATCTAGAAGAGAAGGTATAATTATCAACTCCATGCTGCCAGTGCAAACCTTCCTGAAAGCCATTAGTTGTTTCATCCTCACTCTGAATGGTGATAATCGTCTCTCATGTTCAGTTTGATCATCTGCTGAGTTGTATTTGCGGCTGAGGTTGTGGCTCAGTGGTAGAGCCCTTGCCTAGTACAAATGAGCCCGTGGGTTCGAGCCTCAGTACCACATAAAAATAAATAAATAAAATAAAGGTATTGTGTCCAACTGCAAATATATATATTTATATATAGTTGTATTTTTATTGCAGGCACAGAAACTGGGGAACAAATTACAGTTAAAGATTGCAAGCATTTGTGTTGAGACAGAGTATTTCCAATATCGAACTAATCTTGACATAAATTTGAATCAGTCAATTTCATTTTACACTGAAGTCTTGACAGTTATGCCCTTTGTGGATTTCCATTAGGGGCACATTTACTGGTCACTTAGTTTCACTTGAGTTCTTACAGGTTGAGGGCTTTGTGCCTAATATTGTTTCACAGTCAGTATGTGAAGCACCAAGATACAGTTTTAACATTGTTGACTTGCGTGCGGCCTCGGCTCCTTTTGTTTAAAATTTGGATTAAGGCACAAGTCAACAGACTCTGGGTGGTCTTATCCTCACCCCTCAGAGAAGCAGATTCACATGACCAAACTCCTTTACAACTTGGCAAGATGGTAGTCTTCTCTCATGAGACACCCAACACAATAATAGCAAGGACATTAGAGGTCACTCCTGAGGTAGAATGCCAGAGCTTATGTGGAAGAAATTTGTCCAAAACTTGCTTTCAGTCACTCCAGCCTTAACTCATATTCTTTGCTGTTTCCTTTTTATAAAAATGAAAAATTATGAAATGTTCCATTGATGTCTCAGAGGAAAAATAGAAAAATAAAACAAGGATGCCAAAGAGTTTCAGAAATGTCAACAAGGAGAGAGCAAGAAGTCCTTCATCTTGTGCAGTGATGGCCATATTGGGGCTGCTCACCTTTGCCATTGTAATAGTTAGGCACATTTGGCTGGGGAGAGGTCTTCCCTATCATTAAACTTTTGAAGGAAAAAGAGAGTATATATCTAATGTCTATACTTTTAAAAACTGTTTCTTGGGCAGTTCAGATCATTTTCTTGCCCCAAATTTTTATGACATAATTTCAGTGTTTTCAAAGAAATTAACCCCCATGGCTGAACTTTTCTATTTTTTAAATTTTATTTTTGGTAGCCGTCAAGTACCTAAAAGAAGTACAGGCCCTTGGGGGGCATAGGGTGGGAGTGCCTGAGCATGCACCACACACATACATATGAGAAAAGGAGGAATTCTTGCATTTATTATGTTTCAGTCTGATATCAAGAAACCAACCTAGTAGAAGCATCCTATTATTCATCTCTTTCTCCCAAGAAATTAATAGTATTTCTCTACTTTATGTACATTTTCAATGCATTAGAAAGTAAAACTATAGGCTGGGCATGGTAGTGTACACCTATAATCTCAGGAATTTGAGAAGCTGAGGCGGGAGGAGCCCTAGTTCAAGGCCAACTCAGCAACTTAGAGAGAACCTCAGCAATTTAGCAAGACCCTGTCTCAAAAAATATAAAGGACTGGAGGTGTAGTTCAGTGGTAAAGTACCTCAATCCCCAGTACCAGGAAGGAAGGAAAGAAAGAAGGAAGGTTGGCTGGAAGTCTGGTTGACCTCAAAGAACTGGAAGGGAGTTACAGGTGCTGCCTCCTTACAGACCCAGTGCTTGACTGACTGTTGAGCTTTGCCTTCCTCCCGGGACCCACCCTGATGTGGTGCATACCTCATTCATTGGTTTCTCATAGATGTCCTCCTGCCAAGGAATCGATTTTGCTTGAAAAGCATCTCTCTGGAGAGCTTCCAACACCTTTTTCGGAGTAACAAACCCATACTGAGCTTCCAGCAAAGCCAAGTCCATTTTTTCAGCCTTTAAAATACCGATGACTTCATCTCGAGCCTGTAGGAACAAAAGATATTTCAAAAAGCCTACTTCATCTACCAGCAGTCTCAGCAAATGATCCCTTGTGAGAGTTAATAGTGATTTTTCTTCAGTTTCAAATATAAATAAATCAGATTTGGTTATAAGACCTTTTGGAAAAGGTAACAAAACTACGTCCCTTCATCCTTCTTACAGTCTAATTACATGCTAACAATATTTTAAAAAGTCATCGCTGTACAACATTGGGGAACTATATTTTCTTATTGTGTTTGACAAGCAGATAACCTAAATGGCAGTCCTTTGAGGGATAGTGTTTTAGGGAGTAGGAAATAAGATTTTACAATATGTGTAGCTAGCTGTTTTTCGATTTTTATATAAATTAAAAGGTAATTATGCCATGGCCAGTCTAGGAACAAGTTCACATCAGGTGCAAAGCTCCTATTATTATTTAAACCAATCCAGAAGTCATCTAGCAGCATGGTTACCAATACTGTGTGATGAAGTGAGTGGGCAGAACAGACAGAGGATGTAACTTTTCACAACATGTATGCCAATTATATGTCATAATGACACCCCTTTTAGATGTGATTAATTGCTCTTGGAGTTGGCAGAAGAGAATTCTGTGTATGTGTATTTATGCTTTGCTTCCACGTACACACAAGTACTAACCACAGATACCTATTTCTGTGGCACCATGCAGACCAAATTCACAACCAGCTTTCCCCAGGAATCATGCCAGGGATCACTCCTAGCCAGCTGACCTGCAGTTCTCCCTCTAGAATGCTGAGAAGAAATAACAGGTCATCTCTTGAAAGATCATCTGCTTGGTGGCCATTGCCATTGTGTGGCTTCTCTGACTTGGGACATGGAAGAATTTCATCCAACTCAATGGTGGAGTCTTTGTCTTGCTGTTTGTGCTTCATGTTCTGGAAATTCTGGTCTTTACTGTGTCTTGGAAATTGTTTTGGGGCTGAGCCCTCAGGGTTAGTGCTTCTGGAACGCATTCTTAAGGCCTAGAAGGAGAGAAGATAATTTGTAACTCTTAATGGAAGTAGAGTTTTATAAGAGTACCTATTACTGTTTTAACAAGTCTGCATTCTTGTTACATTTACACAGCCAAAAAGTTGGTCTTTCTGATCTCTACAGCAGAGAGTTATTAGCAGAATCATAAATCACAGTCTTATTTACACTTCTGCTTTTAAAGTCAACATTTTAAAAACATCTTCTGCTTTGATTAAGGCCACTTATGTCCAGAGGTAAACAGACTGTGTTTGAACTTCATCCACCAAACATTCCACCACAAGGACCCAGGTCATATCTCCAACCATGGCCTAAATGCTTACTTGGAGACATGCTTGACATAACCGTAAAATGATAAACTTGCTGTTTTGCCTTCAGATTCACATTGTAGTATTTCTTTTTAAAGTGGTTTGGTTTGAGGTGTTATGTGTGTGTGTGTGTTCATTTTGTTTGTTTTGTTAATATTTTAGTCTTTGGTGCATTAGGATAGAAGTGTCAATTATTAATACAGAATACTTCGGATTATTTTGTTGTAAAAGCAAAGTTTAGTATTAAAGGAATGAAGGCTTGGTTCCTGGCAGTGTTCCTAATATTCTGATAAAATTCAGACTCTATCCTTGGGTAAGTCAAATTTAGGAACTTCATGTCCAAAAGCAGAGACACTACTGCTTATAGTATTTAACCATAGATATTTGAGGGCCACAACAGTTTCATATTGTATAATTATCCAAGTTAATTTATAATAGAAAAAATTGTTTCCTTTTACTTTTGAAGTTTCTGACTAATAAAGAAAACATCATTTAAACTTAGAGTAGACTCTAATTATATCTAAGCAGTTTATTAATTTTCCTTTTCCCCCCACACATCATGAATCTTTTATCATCACTGGTATTTTACTTTTAGTTTGTAATAATATTTCTTTAAAAATATGAAAAACTCAAGCATACAGAATACTATATAAAATATAATGAACCACTGCTTACATGCTACCATGCAAATTTATCAAATTTTACTAATTTACTATACACACAAACGCGCGCGCGCACACACACACACACACACACACACTCTCTCACACACACACACACACACATATATATATATATAAAATAATTTTTATAAGTAATGTATTATAAATGCAGTCAAAAACCCCTGAATAGCTCTTTGGAACCATTCTCTTCCCGTCCACTCCAGAAATAATCACCACCTTGAACTTGGTGTTTATCATTCCTGAGCATGTTTTATACTTTTAATGCTTTTAAATACTTTCTGAAACTTGCCTTTTAAATCCTGTATTATAAAAATTCTTCCTTGTTCCATTTTACTGTAGTTCATATATTTTGATTGCTGTGTAGTATTTCATTATATGAATAGTCCACCATTTACTTATTCATCTTATTATTGATAGATCTTGAAATACATTACTTTTTCTCAGTATTAGAGAAAGACATTCTTAAACATTTTTCACCTTGTGTACGAGTATTTATCCTGAGAACAGTGTTTAGGGCACAGCAATGGGATTTCTGAACTCTGGAAAATCCCACTCAACAACTAGACATTATTGCTGTCCCAAAGGGACAAAGTGTGAGAGTTCTCAATGCTCCATTGTCTTCATTGGTACTTTATAAATTTATAATTTTTGATAGTATGTTAGTGGTCTTTGCCCATTTTTCTCCTGTGTTGTTTTATTCTTTTGGATTTGTAGGAAGCTTTTACATACTCAAATTACTAATTTGTTGATTATGTTCAGCTCTTGTCTTTCCTAGTAGGTAGGTTATATTTTTACTTTAAATCTTTTATGTTATTAAAACTTACAGAAATTTTAAGTTTTAATTTAGTAAAAGTTATCAGTTTTTTCTTTTCTCTTTTTGACTAACACACATTAGTTGTACATATTAATAGGGTTCAATGTGATATTTCCACATAGTCATATAGAATGCACGGTCAAATACAGCCTCCCTGGATCCACTCTCCATGCTTTGCACAACTACTATAATTCCTAGTCTACATTCAGCTCAATTTTCTTTTAGCCTCCACACATGAGAGAGAACATGCAGTGGTAATATAAAACAGTATAACTCACTAGACTAGAATCACACTGCCAAAGTCAAATTCCTGCATTGTTACCAAATATAAAACCTTGAAAACTTATTTAGTACACTGTGCCTCAGTTTTCTCATCTGTAAAATGGGGATGACAATGCTAGTATGCTCATAACCTAAGGTAAGGTTGCTATGAGTATTCAGTAAGTTAACATGCTTATAATGTGCTTGGAACACAATAAGCATTAGCTTTTATTATTATTATTAGACTTCAATAAATATTAGATTTTATTATTAATATTATTATGAACTTTATTTTAATCTCCCAAGATTTTATATCAAGCTTTTCTTAACTATATCTTTATGCATTAGAAAATTTTTTTCAAGAAGGGAAAAAATTACCTCATTGATCTATGTGAGCTATGGCTACAAGGAAAAAAAATTACAAAAATAAAAAAGACTGCCTTTGCCTGGGTGTTCTGTTTAAGAAGTGATTCTCACCTAGCTTACTGGCACCACTTGAGACCTCCTGAATAGTGGGATACTGAGTAGTGGGATACTGAGGCACAATGTACTAAAGAGACCATGAGGACTTCATAGCCAGCCAGAAGGGCTGACCATCCCTGGGTTCATGGTCCTGATCTGTGAAGTGAAGGGGATTGGCAGGTGATTTGTAGGATGCCTTTTCCCCTGTGAGATATGATTCTTGCCACTTTCTTTTAGCATAGATTACCAATAGTATATTTAAATAGGATGGATTTGTGAGTCTGCGTATTATTGGAAATCTACATAAATCTCTGTGCTTCCAGTGGATATGGAGTAAGCCTATGTTCTAATGACTTTCACTAGGGGAAACATTACAACTAAAAGATAGTTCTTAAGGAAATAACTGTAGTATTAATTTTGCCCTGAGAATTCTTTATATCCTCACCTTAACAATCAGGTTATGAAAATAGAAGTTGAAGGTGTTTATTGTCTTATATGTTTATTATTTACATGTTTTATTTGTTAATAGCATCCAAAATTTTCACTTTTCAAAATTTTGACAAGTCACATAATGTGTTGTCATCATAATTAATGTTCTTTCTCATTCGTCTCCATCACACTAATTTATTTACTCTTTTAGGCACTGGGAATAGAAAGATGGTGGTGGCAGCAGCGATAATTGTAACAATAGCTAGCATTTACTGTACCAGGCACTCTTCTAAGTATCTTACATGTATTAACTCATTCAGGATTCACAGCAAAGTATAGAAAAGTATTATCTCCATTTTACAGTGAAGAAGTAGAAGCACAGATAACTTACTGAATGGAAGAAACAAAAACACAGGCAATTTCTGAAGGTTGTGTTGCATAGCTAATAAGTGGCAAAACTGGGATTTGAATGATTCAAATCTAGGTAACCTGATTCCTGAACCCATACTTTAGAAATCATGCCCTAAAACCAGTATGCTAAATTGCCCAAGACATGCAGATACCATCTGGGAAAAAAATGGTGATAACCCTACTGAAGAGAATATTTATAAATAAGTGCAATACAAATGAACAGTGACCTGGAGCAGTAGTCACTGTCTCTTCCCTAATTTGGATATACTAAAAACAGGTAAAAAATGAATCTGTTCCTGTGTTTGCACATGAAGGACAGGACCATCTGTTTCTTTTGTCTTTCTTTTTTTAAAAAAATTTATTTAGCTGTGAATAATTAAATCCATGGCTTCATGTATGCTATGTGCTCTTATCACAGAGACAGACCCCTCCCCCTAATATTTTTTATTTCTATTCTCCAGGGGTGTATCTGACCCATTCATAATGGGTGTTCAACAGGGTGACTGGCTCCTTCTACTATGTGGCCTTCTGTCTCAGACATACATTTCCATTTAACAAACCACTCTAAAACGGTGATAATGGCAACACTGACTCAAAATTCTGTGGCTCATACTGCAGCTTCAGCCATCTTGCATCTCTACTGGGTGGGGTGGCCTAAAATGCACTCTTTGTCATACTGACCTGTACACTTGTTGCACTACTTGGGCCTCAGCTGTGCTCCCAGTGGATTCTTAACCTCCAGTAGCTAGACCTAAGAGTCTCCGGACATTCCAACAATGTCTCATTTTATAGTGAAAGAATATCACTAAGCCAGTGCAGATTCAACAGTGGTGGGGAAAGACTCTACTTGTAGATGGAAAGAGCTCCAAGGTCACATTGCAGTGGAATTAAAAGCAGGAATTAAATGCAGCCATCTTTGAAAAAGTCCACCACACCTACAGATTCAGAATTTTTTGAAAATCTAATAAAAGTCAAGTGAAAAAGAGTGATAAAATATAGCTGGGTGTGGTGGCACACACCTTTATTTTTTTTTATTTATTTTTTTTAAATATTTATTTTTTTTTTTAGTTCTCGGCAGACACAACATCTTTGTTGGTATGTGGTGCTGGGGATCGAACCCGGGCCGCACGCATGCCAGGCGAGCGCACTACCGCTTGAGCCACATCCCCAGCCCCGGCACACACCTTTAATCCCAGCAACTTTTGAGTCCCAGGCAGGAGGATTCCAAATTCAAGGTCAGCCTGGACAGTTTAGCAAAACCCTGATCAAAATAAAAAATAAAAAGGGCTAGGGACATAGCTTGGCGGTAGAGCACCCCTGGATTAATCCCCAGTACTACAGGAAAAAATAAAATAAATAAGGAATAATAAAATATATTTAGTTCTTTACTTCTTTTAGTTTCCTGAAGATATAAGGTTTTTTGTTTGTTCCTTTATTTATTTTTTTTTTATTGTTGGTTGTTCAAAACATTACATAGTTCTTGATATATCATCTTTCACACTTTGCTTCAAGTGGGTTATGAACTCCCATTTTTAGCCCATATACAGATTGCAGAATCACATCAATTACACATCCATTGATTTACATATTGCCATACTAGTGACTGTCATGTTCTGCTACCTTTCCTATCC